CGACACTAAGATATCCGGTACCTAATAACATGAGCTTTCGATAATCTGTTCGCTTTCGCAGTGGCTTTCCCATATGAATACATAGAATATGTAGAATGCTCACATCTTGACGTGCCTCTTGGTATTTGTGAGTTTACGCTCAACATCTGTTATGCAACAACAACCACCAAACATGTGCCGATATTGCTACGTCCTTTTGCCTGGTGTTAAATGAAAGGCATCATGCACGAGAAATCTGTTCCTTGTTGCCCGTGTGGGTTTTGTGTGGTCATGGAAGACCCACGTGCAGAATTCTGAACAAAAAGAAGCCGCAATGAAACATTTACAGATGAATCTGATTTCTTGTACGGCTACTGGTAGCGGGGCGGGGCCAGAGCCACATAAGGTTTTGAATTTTGAAGTCAAAGGAAGTTGTTCGAGTTTACGTGCTCGAAAAACTCACTCTCCTAGTTCCCACTGCGAGATTTGTGAAAGTCATTCGAGTTTGTTTCCAAAACTAGTGCTATCTTCTGCTCTTTCTGTTATCCTCAACAGGGTCCTAGGGTACTGATTTCTGGGGATGTGGAGGGAGTCTGTCCTCATGCACGATTCTTTCAAAGGCACACTTCATGATGAATCAAATGGCACAATGGGTGGATAAGCACTGAGGCCTCAACTATCTGTTCCTGATTCAGTTGTGCGCCACAAGAGAATTGGGGCCTTATCAATACTGCTTCGACCGCTTCCGTTTTTTCTGTCCTATCGCAGCCGAACACAAATATGAGAGCTTACAATTTTAGCGTTCTCGACGGGCTCCCTTCCTTTTTTTCATTAACGGCCCACTTCCCAACCCTGCTTCCATTTGAGCAGTGTGGAAAATTCACCATTTATATCGTGAGGTGGTCCTTCGAGCCGCCAGGGCCGGATGAGGTGTCAGCTATTACGGATCCTACAGGTACACGGAAATCAATTCAATAGTGAACAGCACCACCCTTATCGTCCATGCGATTTTGTGCAACCATTAGGAGGCTGCATGTAAGTCGGGAAGGTATGGACAGCCCATTTTCTAGCGCAATAGAGTAGCGAGTCCTCTTCAACACGTCGTCTTCACAGGGAGGTCACCTATATATTTTAGAATTTTTTTAATGTGATGGCGATTTTACTAGTACACTCTCTTTCTTTGCTTGAGCACACTGCTACTAACAGACATTGAACCTGAAATGCTTTCTGCCATGCGAATTACAATACAACGAGCAGACATAGAAGAACGGAGAACGGACGTCTTCTTGTCGAATTTTCGATTTTTCAAAAATCCCAAACGGCCTTCAAACTCCATAATTGTCAGGAACTGTGAGCATGTCTTGCCCTTGAGAAGATTGCGGTAGTTTTCAGTAAAAGATTCGTTCCAGCTCACTGACCGAAAATGCTCCAGGAACAGTGCGCCAAGCAAATCCCCGGTTTCATCAATCATGACGAATGGCTATCCATTTCTCTTGATTATACCGCTACATTTTTAAGTACGGGCCATCTAGGATAGTGAAGTCTGCTTTACCTGATTTGAATTCTCTCACAGTAATGCTTTTGAAATGCTGGGAGGATATTGATGGAAAGAATGGTGGTATGAAGAGCTGTCGGAAAGTCGAAGGTGATCATTTAAAAAAAACCGTTATCATCATTTTGAAAAACACAATCACGTCTTGTACTGTTGTCTTTGCTATGAACAAATATCCGTAGCTGAATCATTTTTCAAAAGCTGGTCTCAAAATGTCATCAAAATATTGGTACATCAAGTAACTTTGCCCCATGGTTTCTTTGATTTTTTTGATTGTTTTCCTTTCTCTTGTTCTTTGATATAATAGTATAGTTTCATTTGGGAGGGCCAAAAGCCAACGGGACGAGGGGTGTTCATGGTAAAAAAAAAAAAGAAAAACTACGCCAAGAAGTAATCTGGAACCGATAGCAAACCTGTATGCTTTTCATTTTAGCGCTCCTTTCCATTTTCTACAAATAAGTTTAGAGTAGGCGCCGAGACCTACCAATTCGGCGCTGAAT